AAACAATTCTTCTCCATCCACTCCAAGATTGAATATAGAAAATTCTTCTATACCCGTCTCAGAGTTAATTAGAATATGTAATAATAGTATAGAAAGTAGTGAGACAGAGCTTGAATTAATAAAGGAGTTATTGGAACATGCTAATATTTCAGGATATAAAGTATCGTACCCCACAGAAAAACATCCTAACTCCTTTTATCTTAAACGCATAGTACCTTCGAATTGTCCATTATGTAAACGGGAAGATAAAGACCAAAATGATCACATACATGAGAATGACAACGCATACATTATTCGAAATAAGAAATCATATAGCTTCTATTGCTATCGTGCAAAGGATAAGAGAAATCCTGGAACAAGAAAACCTTCGATAAAACTTACTATTAACGAAACAGCCAAGGATCAAGAAAATAAACTTTCAATTCTCCCCAAACTAGAACAATCCAGAATTTCTAATCCAAACGATTATTTTGTATGGAGGAACCTGCTGGATATGTGTATATTCGAACAAAGATATACACGCAAAGAGGTATATAAAGCAATTCAAGCAATGGTTGCATGCGTTCAAACAACTTCAAGACTGTGGTTGTTTAAAATGGAAGATTCAGATAATGGTCTTTATTTTGATATGGTATCCAAACTAGATTTTGCCAAATACGAAATTAGTATAACTGAACATGGAGGGGAGTCAGTAGAATTAAAAACATTAATAAATTGGGCAGTTTCAAAAGGTCTGATTCTTTACAGTAATATTGATTTTCTGCTATATTCTCCAAACACCTCTCCATCGAATACCAAATTCTTTAATCTGTTTCTAGGATTCAAAGTTCGGCCATTAGTCGAGATAAATTTTGCTCTCATTGATCTGATCACTTGGCATATAGAAAATGGGGATAAAAATCTATCTGAGTATGTTATTAACTGGTTGGCTTATCTTATACAATATCCAGAAAAAAAACCTGGAACTGTTTTAGTATTACGTTCCCCCCCTCGTTCAGGAAAAAATATCTTAACTGATTTTATTGGTAAGGAAGTCTTAGGACAAGAATTATTCTTTGCATCATCAGATCTCGGAAAAATATTAGGACGATTCAATAGTTGCATCCAAGCTAAAAAGCTTATTCTTTTAAATGAAACAGGGATGGTATCGGGAAAATGGCAAAAGGCTAATGACCATTTAAAATCTCTTATTACTGAGCCATATATAACTATAGAGTGTAAGGGGATTGAACCAAAAACAATCAAGGATTTTGCTGGATATATGGTTCTTAGTAACCATGATGCTCTACTTTGTGTTGAAATGAGTGATGGGCATATAGTATGTTTAGATGTGTCTTCACGATGCAAGGGTAATATGGGATATTTTAAACAACTTGGAAAAATTTTGAAACATCCTAATACACCTAGTAATTTCATGAGCTATTTACTTAAACGAGATCTTTCAAATTGGATACCACAAGATATCCCTAATACTAAAATGAAAGTTGAAACAATGTGAAGTCACCTTCCCAACTCTATTCAATTCATAATTGATTATATCTCACTATGGTCTGAGAATCAGATTGATAAACCAAGCTGTGCTACTTTATATCAAGATTATCTTATTTGGTGTGGAAGTAATGGAGAAAAACCATCCACTAGTAATGTTCTTGGGAAAAAAATCTCGCAAATAGGTATTAATCGTACACGTTCACGCGATAGTGGAGTAAGAGTATATCAGTACATTCTTAATCGATTTAAAATCGTAAGCAAACTACGTGAAAAGGGTATCGATATAGAAGAATTTTCTGATGTACCTCAAACCGAAACATCCACCAACACATCTATAGATATCCCTATATTCGATGTTCCAGAAATCGTACCCCCCAAACCAGAAAAAATAGAAGCCACCTTATCAAATACCGATCGTATCGAAAAAGGTAAGAATACATCAACCCCACCAGTTATTAAAATAACCCAAGATCTCTTCGATTCAATAATAGATCAATCAGAATATTCAGTTGCTTCATCATCTAACTCTACTGATATATCTCCGCCCGAGATCATATATGTAGAACCTATTGATGATAAATCTAAATCTCCTGAAATCTCTCCCAACTTACCTGTAAACAATGAACCAAAAACCAGTAATGAAGTAGAGACAGAGTCTCGAATCTTCGATTCACCCTCCTTGCAGATATCATACCCACCCAGATATCAAACCAGAGAGCAACGAGAAATGCGATTAAGACAAAAAGCTGTTGAGCTTGGCGAAGATCCAGATAAATTCGTTATCATAACTGAAAAAGATAAGCTCGATTCTATAGCATTTCATGATAGAATGCAGGCTGATGCGAAAATGTGTGGTTATGCAAAGGAGGTTGAAGAAGACCCCAAAGAATATATAGACATGATAGTGCGAGAAAGATTAATAAGTGAAGAAATAATCCGCCGTTCTCTCAAGGAAGATGGAATCACCTCATCATGGCTTAATACCGATGAGGAATAGAAAAAAACGATTAACATACTCCAGGAAAATGGCATGTTATAGTAATTGCTTAGTCGATAAGGAGTGAATAAGGTAAATTTCACAGGTAGGAGCTTTGATATAGGGAAATTTTTGCTCCTACATATGGGCAATATAAAATTTTCAAATTAAAATATAATGAAAACTCTGTTCTTTATACCAATATACTAGTTTTTGTGACGCCTAAAAACGATATTTGGTTAATTTTTCATTTTTGAGCATTATAAAAAATAAAATATAGTACCAAATGATATTAATATAGCCTGAGTCGCCACAACCCGAAGCTATAAATTTTTTTCATTAAATCCTATATGTTAGTAAATTTCAAATCGACATCATATTTACCCTATAGGTATATATAAACTCTCTTTTCTGATATAGAAGGAAAAAGCGTAATTAATTTCGATTTGAAAAATTAATTTTATAGTGAATATAATCTAAAGAATTGCTCATAAACTACTTGACCTACTATAAAATCTAACAATGTTAGCTATTGCAACAAAAATCGTTGAGAAATATAAACTCACCTCAAAGATGGATATATCAGAACTTGGTTAATATACCTCAGAGTTTCTCGAGAATCTTACTGATGATAGAAAGCGGAATCAGGCATGCAGACGCCTTCGGGATGGCTTTAAATTTAGTAGTGAACAGGTGAGTATATTGATACCCAACCAGAGAAGTGGTAAAACTAAAGTCATAAATCTTGCAACTTCCGATAGTTACCAAATTCCCTATCCAACTCCACAAAATTCAGAAGAAACTATCGGAGAAATGGCACATCGAATTATGCGAGATAATCTCAGTGCTAGTGTTGTAAAAGCTAAAGCTCGTGCTTTAGCCAATTCAGTGCCAAACGCCAATGCTGGCTCATTACGTCTTTCCCGACTCCGAAGAGAACTAAAAAATCTTGGCACTTCATTCCAAATAATCGAAGCTACGAAATTTCCCGATATTACAAAAGATGCCAATGAAATTCAGAGAGATCGACGTAAATTTGTCGAGGCATTCGAGAGAATTGATTATTCAGACCACTTTACATTAGAATCAGTTAAGAAAAGATTAGATAAGTATGATATTTCTATTCTGCCTAATTTACAAGCTCTCGCAGATGTTATGATAATGCTTTGTATACGCCCCACTGAATTTACAACTTTATGCATTACAGACTCTGGAGTAACGAGTTATGCGAAGAACAGAGGTCAGCCAGATATTCCTAGAAAATTTAGATCTATGGAGAAGGATCAAGAACGAGCCAAAGAATTACTAACCTGGATACAGAATGCCATATCTTCTGGTCGAATGGGTAATCCAGGTAAGCCAGAAGTTAAATGGTTCAATAGATTCTTAAAGGATTATAATTTAATTCCTCGCCATTTACGTAAAATAGGGGCTATATATGCTGTAGTGGTACATGGGGCAAAGAATTTAGCTCATGCTATAACAATTGCCGGAGAAGCCTTACGTCACAATCCTAACAATAACACCTCACCAGTACAAAATTTCGTTATTGTCAATTATCGAAAAAAGAATCAACTACTTGAAGAAGCGAGACCATTTCGACTCTATGATAATGTTAACTAATCACGCTTCTTTGCTTCAAAAACTTGTGTATGTATTTCATTCTCGTTGATTCTAGAATATCTAGAAATGCACATTGTGGATTACAAATAATTTTATTTAGTAGTGGAGAATGGGTAATTATTTACCGAGTTATTTTTTCAGTTATAATATATATCATTAAATAATATCGTAGGAAGCATGTTATTCCGGCTATAGAATAGAGTGGGTAATCAGGTATTTGACAGCCTCCAGCTAATTTCAAACAAAGAATTTTTATTTGCTGTAATATATATATATCTGTGATAATTTTCCTTGTTCTACTTTTGATTCTAGACATGGGCACTGATTGTCGCTAGCCAATTTTTTAACAAAAATCTCATGCAATTGTTGAAGAGAGACATTCGGAAATAATGGTAGTCCCTCACCAGTAAACCAAATTTTCTTTACCCTACTATCGATGAATTTCTGTATTAATACACTTGAAACATTTTCTAAGGGACCATGAAATTCTTCAAACTTTCGGAGGTACACTCTCGCATTTTTATCGGCTTCTTCTGCTATTTCTTGATTAGTGTAACCGACGATATCAAGTTCTTTCTAAATTGTCGCTATATTGTCTTCTAAGCATAAAAGCAAATCAAATAATCTAATTGGTTTATCTGAAGAGGCTTTATTCCTTCTAAGTTCTGCTT